CAAGCAAGCTGTGATCACCACTGCTGTTACAGCTGGAATTTACTCTGCTCAGAGGGTCTGTGTTGTGGGATAAGGAGAGGATGGTCCTTGTGGTCATCTTTATCCCTTTCTGTTTCTCTGCCTCATGCCAAACACTGAGAGTACACACGGACAAAAGAGAGTCCACTTCTCAGTAAACAAAGGGTATTTGTTTAGGATGAGGATTAATTCTGAGTTCTGACAGCTCTCTGTTTGAGGATGCTTACTGTGAGGGTGGGGAAAAGGTCGTGAGACCTGTTGTCTGCTGTCTCCTGGAGAAAAGCTTATTGGCTGCTTTTAAAGCAAAATATTTTTTAGAAAAACACTGAAACTAATTATTCTTATTCTCTTGTACATGAGTTTATTCCTTCCATTATAGCTCCACTCTATTTTAATGGAAAACAGGAAACCAGTCTTGGTATGCACTGCTTGGAGTTGATACCGTTGGGATATCAGAGTTGAATTTTCATGAGGAAACCTCTGGGAACTTCAGTCCTTATGTAAACTGACCACATATGATTTCTTCTTCTCATAAAACCTTGCTATTAGACTAATTATTGGGTGTGAAGCTTCTGGAGTATGCTGGATCCTTAAGGAGATCAGAGGGAGAACCAAGTAGCAGTTCTGGAGAATTTGCATGAATATATTGCAGGAGGTAAAAGGGTTCTGCAGGAATCTTCTGGTTTGCCAAGAAGGAATGAAGAAGCATTTCAGTCCTTGCACTGCTGTGGTAAGGGAATTATTTATTAGCCAGATGATGATTGGGTGTTCTGACTTATAATTTACTGTTTTGCATGGGAGTTTGCAGACCTGCTTCCCGGAGGACTGAAGGCATAGCTCAATCAGAGAGATGAAGTGATGATGGCCTCAAAATTCTCAACATTTTTTTTCTTGGCTGTGCACAAATACTTCATAAATTTTACATCCAGCTCATTTTTCACAGCCCCAGATGCCATAGCTTTCAATTAAGTAGGGTTTGGATTTTCTTTTCCATTTTGTAAAGAATCTCCATTATTAGATGTTGACACCAATTGATTATCCCTCTTTATTGCATCTTCTAAGAACACAGAGCCAATTAAACCCCTCTGCCTTCCTAAGGGTGAGCCAGCCCAGTAGACTCCTAATAGTCCCACCACAGCATGTTGTTCCTTTGTTACTAAGGCAGCAATTAACAAGTTTTTAATGGAACAAAAGCTCCCAGAGACAGGCACGGCATGATAATAGGAAGGTGTCTCCTTTTTGTCTTCTCAACATGGCAAGATCTTGTATAACCCTTCCTCCCTTGGGTTGAACAGCCCTGTCAAGGTGCTCAGTGTGGGATTTTTATTCCTTCTCTCCCTGCCGCAGTGCATCTAAAAAAAAATGATATTTACACACGTTCAGTTATTAAAGGGGTCTAAAACCTAAATCTGAACTGCAGTCCTGTTTAAAGCAAGAGGTGTTTTAATGTGAGTAAAAGGGAAAGATTATATTTTCTTACCAAGATGATCTCTGTGGTGCCATTGAGTTCTGCACTGTCAGGTTTTGTTGATGGAGTAATTGTTTTTTAAAGCCATCCTTTCAGGTTTTAATGTCATGTTTATGCAAATTAAAACACAGCAGTCTAGAAGAGACTTGTCATCATTCCAAAATAATCTATAAGGCTATTTTTTTAGACAAAAATCTCAATTGGGAAATAATTGCTTCTGTGCATGCGATTAATAATAATTAATTTTCTATTGTTTTTCATTAGGAGAATTGGTTTTCAGCTGAGGTGTTTAAAAATCAAAAAAGATGCCTCCTGAAATTCTGGTGATTTTTAAGGTAGATGAGATATTATTGGAGATGGTATGGAATGCAAAACACATCTTTTCCCCAAGTGAACTTCAGGCTGTCTGGGTTTTATTTTGTGCTCTGGTGCGAGTTAGGTAATTTCAGATTGGAAGGAAGCAACACTTGTATCTGCATTACTGGGGAGCCTTAGTGTCCCAGTCTACTCCTAAATGTCCCTTCTCCACAAAGAAGGAATGGGCTGGGAGAAAGGCTGGGGCAAGGGTCATTCTCCAAAGCAAAGGAGGAGCCCTGGGCTGGATCACTAAACTGCTCTGTTCAATCCATGACAGACAGTACTGCTGTTCTCTGTCTGTCTCCTTTGAAAAGGAGAACTTTGGAAAATTCAATCTGCTTCCCACTGTGGCTGAGCAGTGCTGCTGTGGTCTCTGGAGGCAGGAGTAAGGAGGGGAACTTGTCCATTTGGAGAAGATGGACATACTGATGGCCCTTTACTTCTCCAGTGGAAAGTAATGTTTCTGCCTAGGAAAGTGTTGGGTTTTCACTTTCAAGGATCAGGCGTCACAGGAGGTGCATGTGGGTGTTTGTGGTACAGCCTGGAATCTGCATCCTTTGGAAAAGCCTGTCACTGTGAGAGACCTGCACTAAAACTGGAAACCACATCGAGTGAGACTAATTTAGCCTCTGCTGTGAACTTGGATCATCCTGGGAAGTTGTAAAGAGAATCTGTCCTGAGCATTGAGAAAAGATTTAAAATTAAATGTTTGCGTCCATGTGTGCTGAATTCATGGGCCTCCTCTTATACCTGGAACTAACTGGGAAGGCACTGCTTTGGTTGTCTCTGATTTATTTCTTATGGAAATCCTTTAGGGAGTTGGTGCATTTCCTCAGTTCTGGTTGTACCCAAGCTTTCTTTCCCCTCATATATACATACATACATACATACCTACTTACATATATATATATATATATAAAACTAGAAATTAGTAATTGACTCTAAAGAATTTGGCAAAAACTCTAACCTGGAAACTCTGACGAAATGTAGATTCACTACAGAAGTTTGTGACTTGAAACTAATTTTTGACAGTTCATTAAAAATGTAATGGGTGAGCAGGAATCTGTCAATGCAATTAGTCCAGGCTGGGGGGAAAGCAGGAGCTCATTTCTTTTGGACAGTAGCATTCTCTGTGATGTACCCTTGTCTCTGTAAGCAAGTGCTTTATCAGTATGTGGCAAAAAAAGCAGTGTGTAGGTCTTGCACTTCAGTGCTGTCACTTCAGAGTGATGCTTGAAATGCTTTAGCAATCATGTAGCTGCAGCAAACAAAATGTTAGTACAGTGAGAGACTAGAAGAAAACACAAGGTATAATCACACCCCTGTAAAATAACTGATGATGCATCTTCATTGGGAACTCTGTTATCGCCTAAAGAGCACAGTGCTACAGAATGAGAGAGGATCTGGAGATGTGAATTTTAAATGAAAATTTTCTGCTTGTCTTTAGCCTGAGTGATGGAGAAGTCACTTCTAAGCTGGAGCTGTGTCAGGGTGTGTGTAGGAATATGAGTAAAGGAGAAGGTGCACTTCTGGCTGCCCTTGCTCATAAGGTACTAAGAGGGAGTCAATTACACCGGAGGACAACAAATTGAAATTGAGAGGAAGTGTCTGCACCATTAACCAATGTGACTCTCCAGGACTGCATATGCAAGTGCAGAGAAACTCTGAAGATCCCTGGTTCTACAGGACCGCAGACAGTGACTCAGACACTTGGTGACAAGGCACAGGAGAAAACTCCTGCACAAGGGGATTGGTTTGGGGCTCTGTGTTTCTCAGCCTGAAGGGCTCTGTGTCCCTGCAGGAGCTGTCTCATCGTTCCTGCGCTGGTTTGCAGTGTGCAGTGGCAGTATAACTTCAGACCACCACGGGGACAATGCAGTGAGAGCCCGTGATCTCTGCAGCAGTGTGGGAAGTGTGGAAGTCAAGAAAGCAGATCTGCTAGGAAACACGCATGCAAATGTGCTCTGCAGCATCCCAAAATGGGTGTTCCTGATCTCCTGTGCAAGGGAAATTGAACTGGGTCTCGTATTCTCACAACCCAACAGACCCACAGAGCACATGCAGGTGGGAGCCCATGGTTCATTTCTACCAGGTGCTTCCCTTGCAGTGACAGTGTTTGAGGTCATTTCAATAACTTCATTCACCCATGCTTTTCCCAACAGGCTGTTAAACCGTTTCAAACTGTCCAAATCTCCCTGTGTACAATGGGATATACAAAATCATGGTAATGCCATTGCTGAGAGGAACAAACTGCTGTCAGATTCCCCTCCATATCTCAAAGCGCGAGCGTACAATCGCAAATCCATTGAGCTGCACTCCATTATCTCTTATTAATGGGAAATTGTCCATAAATTGCTGAGGCGTGACCGTGGGTTTTTTTTCCCCAACACAGCTGCAGTCTCTTTATCCTGTGATATTCCAGCCTCTCAAAAATAAAAAGAGAAAATGGCATTGGGGGGATGGGGAGAGATGGGAGGAGGGGGGCTTGAAACCCCTGGTGCAGCATCTTCCAGCAGCCCCTGGCAAGAGGAGCTTCTTCCCTGCTGGCTGCCCAGCAAAGGGGTGGCAAAGGGAGGTGAGCAGCTAACGAGGACATGCAAGAGTAGGGGCAGGAAGAAGCGAAGGATTTACTGTGTCATGGGGAATGTGAGGTTTTCTAGACAGAAACAATTCTGTTTACAGCATTCTCGTGGAGCACAAACGTTGGTGGGAGGCCTTTTCCATAACACCAGCTTCCACTCCTCCTCCTTCCAACAGATCTTCTCTGAAGAGGAGTGGTGGGTGTGGAGGAGCTCAGAGAGTGGCCCAACACTCATCTAGAGCTGTGGGAATTTCCCTTTCACCTTTTTTATCAGATCTTGTAAGGGCTGGAAATGAGAAACCATTGGGACAGTTGGGTTTTCAGTAGGACTCAGTGCTCTTTGGGACAGAACAAAAATCTGCCACAAACATCCCAGATGGAGACACTGAAAACTGAAAGTTTCTGAACCTGGCCCAGGGCTGTTGTTATTGATGACTCAAGTGGTGCTTGAAGATCTTGGAAAGTATAGTAAAAGGGAGGCTGGGCTCTTAAACCAGGACAGTGGCACCAAGTTGTGTTGGAGCTGGGTCTTGCAGTGGCCAGCTTTGCAATCCTAGATCCTCCTTTTCATTTCAGAGCCCCATGAGTTATCTGCCTGGACTTTGGGCATCTCTACAAGCAACACAAATACTCCTGAACAGCAGGAGCCATGGAGCAGAGCAGAGGCCCAGGTGCATTTGGTCAGTGACCTGTCCACACGATCCCATTCCTCCTGTCATGTTAGGATGAGGAAACGAGCTACTTTGTGTGGCGAGTAACAAAAGGCCATACAGTTTTCCCTGTCTTAATTATACTACAGACTGTTTAATTCTGTAAACGAGCTGCTTGGCAGGCATTCAGAACAATTACACAACTCCCTCTCCTGCTCTCCCTGCGATAGCTCAAGAGCAGCTCAGCTGTGAAGATGATGAGCCTCAGCACCATCCACCTCATGATGGACATCTGGTGATGGCCTCTGTCCTGCCAGCCTGCAAAGCTGACACCCCACGCTGTCCCCGAGCTTCTGGACCGAGCTGGAAGGACTGAAACCTGCAGAGGGGAGGGAAGCTGTGCAGTGGAAGCCACAGTCAAGATAAGGAAGGAATAAGACACGATTAATGGGATCCATGGGCCAAAAACTTTTAAGGCAAGGTGCTTGAGGCATGGTCACCAAAGCCTTTGGAGAAAGTCTCTGTCACTATTGAGACAAATGTCTGAGTCTTTGAGGGATTGAGTTCTGCCTGTCCCTCAGTCAGCAGCACATGGCACGGTTTGGGCAGTCAGCTGCTTCTGGCACAGCCCCTCCACGTGTGAAAGGGAAATAATGATCCCAGCCTCCTGCTTTGGGAGAGCCCTTTGGCATCAGCTGTGGAAAGAACAGCAGGTATCATCAACATGGGGAGGGGAGAAAGGACAGCAGCCTCAGGCTGTGACATGTGAGGGACCTCAGGTCTTGACCAGGCTTGATAGGGAATGGCCTCTCCTAAATGAAAAGTCTGTGCTGTTGAAGGGTCTGACCAGCACAGCAAATGAGCAGCTGTGTGACTGCACAGGGAAATGTGAGCAGCACAATTCCCCCTGGGTCCCCACTTTGCACCACAATAAATGTTACAGGACACAACGTACCTCTAAGCTCAAGGTTGCTCACCCGCTAATTACTGTGCTCTGAACTTCTTGCCTGAGGTCTGCAATGTAAAACATACCAGAAAAAATGCCTTTAATTCACTTTTTAAGTGGCAAATGTGTCTGTGTACACTGAGAACCAGCTCTGCTTTCTGCCAGCAATGCAATTTTCAAGCAAGCAAAATAGAATCATCCCAAGCACAGTTGAAAATATTAGTCTTTCATGAGGATGCTCAATAACAGTGAAAGGATTCTAGAATTTGTTGAAGAAAATTATGGCCTTGAAGAGGATAGTGGCTTTTAGTCCTTTAATATATAAGGATTTTTAATGCAGTGCAGTAGAGGCATTTTTCCCCAAAGGATATATGAATTCCATTACATCTCATTACTTGCCATAAATTTAATATTAATTTTTTTTTTTTTATTTAGAATGAAAATGTAGAGGTGGATATGTATGAACCAGATTCCTAACTGGTTATTATTAAATTTATGTTATATTAGTGTTATTTATGTTTATATTTATATTGTTTTATATCAATATTCCATCAGTTGGAGGTTTGGCCTTGAAGTGCTATTTATTGATTTGGGTTTGTTTTTTTTTATTATTCCCCCCTCGTTGTGTGTTTTGTTTGGGGAGAGGGGGAGTTCACATTACATATGGACTTTCCCTGTACTCCAAGCCTGGCTGGAAACTGACTGTGGGGCCATATGAAATAATTTAGTGCCTGTGATTCCAGAAAACGGGGTTTGGGCTGAGCCCAACCTTTCGAAGACGACTGTCACTTCCCGCTTATGTTTTGCGACATATTATAGAACGCTGCTTCTCCTTGCAGCAATTTTGTCATTATACAAGATAGAAGGAAAAATGGGAAATCCATTACAAGCCAGACTTTGTTATGACACAAGAGAAGAATCCCCTGGGAAGTTAGATTAAATTCTCTTTGAAAATAAAATAAAAATGCCACCATGCTTGACAACATTAGATTTATTATATATTTATCTCAGAAGCTCTAGGTATGCTCCTGTCAAAGCTTCTTTAGATGCTGAGATATGTGAGACAAAGCAAATCATTCCTTGAGTCATTGAAAGGGAAGTTTATTACAGAATTGGAATTAAAAGATTTGAATAAGAAGAGAAATTGGCAGTTCCATCACGAGTTGGAGGCTGATTGCTCGGTGCCTATGTGAGCCACTAAAACCAGCTCAGCTCTGAAGTTTAGATATGCAGGAAGAGGTGCCTGCTATGAACTTGTGGTTTAAGCCAAGTTGTTTTATTCCACCACAGAGTGACCTCAAAGAGCAGCTCAGCTGGCAGGTAGGGCTTGTCTAACACATGGTGGCTGCTGGTTTCCCCTGCCTCAAAACAGAAAAATGCCATTTTGTGTGATTAAATCCCAGGGATGTTGTGCATGTTCAGAGATTTTTCTACAGCCAGTCCCAGTCCTACAAGGAGCTGCTCACATCTGATTAATTCATGTCATACTATTACACTCCAGGCCTGAGAAATTGAAATTAATGGAAAGATTGTTCTCTCCACAACTGTGCATCATCCTGACAGTGCATCTCAGAAGTACTGGCTGATTCATCTTCCATGGCCTGCTCCCAGAGGTTAGGGGTGTGCATATGAGGGAGCAGGGGCTGTTGTCATCATGACTGAGTTTTCTGCAGGAAAACTTTCAGAAGAAATGGGGAATGAATTCCAAATAGCATCAGGAAAGAAGACAGCCAAGAGGAGCACGCACCGTCTGGAACGGGCGCATCCCTGGGTTTTCCCTAAAAAAAAATGGGGATTTTTTTTAGGGAAATGGGGATGGATGTGGAGAAAGTAGCTGTGTAAAACTGACACAAAAAGTGAGGTTGTAACAAACAAGCAAATAAAGGCTGGGTGCCAGGAGTGCCTTTGCAGTCAGCATTATTAGAGCAGCTCATGTCTTCAGATCTGTGGGAAGTCTTTGTGAGATTGACTTGCTCCAGGGTAGGAGCTAGTCGTGAGCCTCAGAAAGCAGGGAAGCAAGGAGGTTTTCCTTGCCTTTATGGCATTTCCACTGCTCAGGAGCAATAATGCCAGAAAATGAGACCATCTTATTTTATGATTCCCAAATGTGTCAATAAAAGGCCTGTGGGGGGAGAAACACATAAAAATACAGAAGTAGAAAGCTCCAGGAGGCAGCCCTGAACTAGGTGGAGAAGAAAACTGTGTGTTTGTTGTGGGAACAGGTGTATTGTCCAGAAAGGAAGAGGAGTGGGGGAAAAGAATAAGGAGGTTGAAGAGATACTTGAAGATGAAGAAAACTGAGGAGAGATGAAAGAGGCTATTTGTAAAAATCAAAAGAGAAATGAGACTTAAGGCTTGTTAAATACTTCAATCCCCAAAGTTTTCCTTCTGTACATTAAAAAGGTTATGAAAGTTTCTGCTTATAACTGTGAATTTAGCTTGAAGTTCCCAACTCCAGCACTTTGAGAGAGCATTAAGATTCCTTTAAAACCCTTTATTCCTTTTGATGCAATAAAACCTATATAGTGCTTTCCTAAATGAGTACCCATTAAGGGGACAAAGCTATGAAAGGGCCATTTCCCACAAAAGATGAAATCCAATAAGGTTTATTACCTCACATTTAATGAATGGCAGAAGCCTATGAAGTATATGAACAAGTTTCCAATCATCCACCCATTTGTCTCCTAGAAGATGTGCAGCATGCAGCGTTGCCAGCCCTTCCCTTCCCCCACAGGTCAAACACAGCATCAGATTTGTTTATGCACCATTTAACTTCCTTATCTCTTGTGCCACACTTTAACTTTGCCTTTTATCTTCTCACCGCTGCTGAAAATTCCAAATGCAGCCTGACCCTGCAGTGCACTTGACAGCCAAGCCTCCCTGCACCATCTCTGGCTCCATGAGCATTCCAGGAGGGCAGCAAGGTGGTTTTTCCTCCACTGTTTTCCTTTAGCTAGCCCTAGAAGCTGTAATTCTGGAAAGAAACCCCACTTTTTAGCTGCTTTTATGGTATGGAAAGGGGTAAGGAGTATAGGATTGACTCTTTCCATTACCTTGGAAAATGAGATTAAGTGAAATTTAAAGCTGCTTTCTTCAGGCTGAAATTCATCCATATCCTTTCAGGTCTCTCAAGTAGTAGCAGAGGAAAACTCTAAAACACAAAAAAGAATATAACCTTTTTTTTTTTTTTTAAGAAGTCAGGGGACCTCTAGAGTTGGTGTTTCATCTAATATTTAAGTGATGGGGTTTAAAGCTGAAAGGCATTCTTTGCTCCTGTGAAGAATTCTGGCTAAAAGAGGGAGGAAAAACCAAAACCAGCCTTTACCTCTGAAGCTATTTGGTGTTGACTGATTCTGATTTAAGTACAGAATTTGGAAGAAATCTGTTTCATGAAAGTTTGTACTGGAGGAAAACACAACTTTTCATCCAGAAATTACATTATTGAGGAAATTGCATTTTCTATGAAGAAGAACAAATATAGTTTTGTAATTTTTTATAGCATATTCCACTCACAGGCTGCAACTCTGCCTTGCTGCCCAGATGTGGACAGATGGGCACTTTCTGAGAGCTGCAGGGCATAGAAAAGTGTTGGGGGGAGTTTTCTCTCTAATCCTGGAGGATGTCAAAGAGCAAGAGGATATGTAACACAGTACCTTTCCTCTTTGGAACTGTCCTGATTCTTGGGTGGTTTGGGGGTTTTTAAAATATCTTTTGTTCCTGGCTTTCTTCTTTGATCTCTCCATGAAAAAAAAATACATATATGGAGCAATTCAGCTTCAGTCTCTGAACAGGGGAGAAGGGTGAGCAGTCTATTCTCACCTTGACAAGCCCCTGCAGAGAAACTCCTACTACTGCTAATGGGAGCTGCTGGCACGCATGAAAGAGGGAATTTATTCTTGGGTTGTTAAGGTTTTTTTATATTTTATTTTTTTATTTTATTTTTTTTATTTGAATTGCTGTTGTCAGACAATGCAATAAGAGGATTTGCATGGTAATATGATGGCTGATGGATTTCTTGCAATAAAATCCAACAAGCTGGTTTATGAGGTATTTTATACATTTCTTATTTGTATTATAAGAGCAGCAAGGAGCCCAGGGATATGTCTCTGCTGCGTGAAACTCTTTGCATATATGTTACAAATAGTCATGCTCTGTGTGTTTTCTGTCTGTTTGGGTTGGTTTTCTCTCTTTTCTCACTTGCTGTGAAATAAGCACATATAAAGGCAACACATTTGTATGGATGTTATTCATCACTGTTTGTCCTGTGATAATTTGACAAATAAACTCATACTGAAGATACGTGTGAGCACGTTTCCCTCCTGACAGGAGAGACTCACAAAAATGGATGTCATGTCATATATTGATATGAAAAAGGAATCCGATTTGAATAATAAAACACATTTTTTTTCCCCCCCAAAGCTCACTAGTTTTCACACTAATGCAAGTAAGCCACATGTGCAAGCCTTCAGCCCTCATTCTTCTTGCCAGTACCAGGGAAGGTGTGATAATTTTGTCATCTGTGCTGCTTGCTTTTCCTGGGCGTTAGCTTTGCTTCCAAATTAGACTCCACGCTATTAATGGCTCAAAAAATAATGTGCTAAGTCAGCCAGCCCACAATTTTAAGAAAAAGAAAAACAAGGAAAAAAAAAACCCTACAGATTTAAAGGTAGCCCTGATTCTCAGCTGCTCTATGTCTGCACGGCTCCAGAGGTCCTTTTAAAATTAGTTTTTTCCCTAGGAAATGATGCATTTTCTCTGAAAACAATGGGTCTGTTCTGATTTACCTCAGCTCAAGGTCTGGCTCTGCCTAACCCACATTTTGCCACAAAGCAATGTCTACTTCATTTTGCTTAGAAATGTCAGCCCTGTTGAATTAAATGAATGTATTTGGTTATGGGAAGAAGGGGAAGTCTCAGTAAGGAGAGGGAAATGTGGATTTTGAAGCATGATCTGCTTTCTCCTGATTTCCTGCCCCAAATATGTAACTTTTTGTGTATAATTACCTGAAAGGAAAGAATAACAACAGGTGTGAAAAAAATGCTACAGAAGATTGTTTGATTATCCCAGTAGGAAACAAATCCAATTTATGGATGAATTATGCACACAGAACTACATTTAGGAAAGTAAATTTTAGGGAATTATGAAATTGAGTGGGCCAGGTCCACTGGGAGGAAGCACTGAAAATGAAAGAGGTTGGTAGAAGGCTGGAGGATGCTAACTGGAGCAGTAATTAAAGCAGAACAGGTCCTATTTCCTTTTGGAAAAATGGAAATTAGAAAGAGAAAAAAAAGAAAATAAAAGAAACCCTGAAGAAGAAAATCCACAAGAGAGGAGAATGGCATTTCACAGGGGAGTACAGAGGAGTTGAAAGAGAGAGCTGAGGAAGGTTGGCAG